TAGAAGATGCAGAAACAACTCCAGACACACTCAGCCACCTCATCTTCAACAAAGGAGCCAAACACCCTCACTGGAGGAAAGATAGCCTCTTTAATACACGGTGCTGGGAAAGTTGGGTTTCAACTTGCCAAAGATTAAACTAGACCTATATCTCTCACCATGCACTAAATTAAAATCTAAATGGATTAAAGATCTAACTATTAAAACAGAAATGCTGAACTGGCTGGAATAGAGGTTAGGTAGAAGACATTGGTGTAGGAAAAGATTTTATGAACAAAGCCTCAGTTGCCCGTGAACTAGCACCAACACCAAGTGGGATCTCTTCTTATTAAAAGGCTTCTGCACAGCAAGAGAATCCACCAACAGTGTGAACAGACAACCCACAATGTGGGAAAAAATTTTCACCTGCTGTTCCTCAGACATGGGGCTACTATCTAAAATCTATAAAGAACTTAAAAAAATCAGACTTCCCAAATTGAAAGACCCAATCCAAAAATGGGTATTTGAAATGAACACACATTTCTCAGACAAAGAAGTAGAAATAGCAAATAAACATATGAAAAACTGTTCAACATCACTGGTCATTCAAGAGTTGCAGATGAAAACAACACTGAGATTCAACCTCACCCCAGAAAGAATGGCTGCTATCATGAACTTAACCAATAACAAATGCTGGCAGGACTGTGGGGAAAGAGGAACCCTGCTCCACTGCTGGCTGGAGTATAGACTGGTGCAACCACTGTGGAAATCAGTATGGAGATACCTCAAAGAACTAGGACTGGAAGTCCCATGTGACCCAGCTATTCCCCTGCTGGGTATCTTACCCCCAAAATTAAAAGAATCACACCACAGTGATATATGTGCACCCATGTTCTTAGCAGCACAATTTGTAATAGCTAAAACTTTGAAGCAGCCCAATTACCCATCAACTGGAGAGTGGATAAAGAAAATGTGGTTTTTTAATAAAATGGAGTACTATTTAGCCATAAAAAATGAGAAATTAGAGATATTTATAGCTAAATGGATGCACATTGAGGCGATACTCTTAAGTGAAATAGGACACACATATGTAAATATCGAATAGTTTCACTAGTGTGAGAAACTGAAAGTGTAAATAAGGACTAAAAGGTATAACAGATAATGTGAAATAGGGAGAAAAGGGACAAAGGAGAAGGGGAACTGGGAGGGACAAGTGAAAGGAAAGAAGGGAATGGAATTAATATGAGAAAATGAAAAACTGGAAACAAAGTCTTTGTAAATAGGGCGGGATGGAGGGGTTGAAGGGAGGGTAGGGGAATGGGGGAAAAATAAGAACCAAGAGAGATTATGTAAAGGGGCAAATTTCCAGTGATGAATGTCATTATATTGTATACCTAAAATGTACCAATAAAATTAATTTTTTAAAAAAGAATTACTTTAAGCTCTAAAAGGTTCGCGATCACTGACACAGTCATTGATAGTCATATTAAGAAATCTCCCAAGGAAGAAAGGAAGCAAATATTGCATGATCTATCAGAACACCAGTTCACCTACAGAAGAGGGAGCTTGCACTTACATCTAAGAATTCATGGTAATGTAAATGTCAGATATTCCCTGAATTTGGCTAACCAAAATTGACAGCCAGTTTCTCTGAGGGCATGTGGTAAGATCCACAAGCCTTCTTAGGAGACACCTAGGCAGGCCTATCTGCAGACAGCTATCCTGCAGCACAGGCAACCAGCTCCTGTTTTAACAGATCACATACCACCAAGGTGCGCAAACACAATGTGCTTGCTGGCGCTCGAGGGTCAAGGGCAGCTTGCAAATCCCAAACTTTAATTTTCCTAGAAAGAAAAATGAGACTGTGATTAGTGGAAAAGTTAACACTTTATATATTGTCAAGCATTTCTTTGACAAAAAGAAGTACACATGAACTGCCTATCATAAAACTAGTAGGCAACAGGCTTTTTTTGGTTTTGGTTTTGTTTTTTGTTTTTTTGAGACAAGAGTCTCACTTTATAGTGCAGGCTTGCCTTGAACTCTCTATGTAGGACAGGCTGGTCTGGAACTCATGGTGATTCTCCTGCCTCAGCCTCTGGAATGCTGGGAGTACAGGCGTGCGTCACCATATCCACACCTCAACAAATTAATGCTTTTATAAATTTTTCAACCAATTATATTTGATTTTGGAAAAAATAAGAACCTAAACATTCTCAGAATTGCTAAAAATTTGAAGAAGCATTATTTTCAGGGAGATAATAAAACAATTTCGTGTTTTATCTAAATTCAATTGCTGACTTGATAATCTATGTCACTAAATTTATTAATCAGGAGGTTCTCTGGAACTAAGCTGGTGCTACTGACAGGAGCTAGTGCTCTGTATGAAATTCCAAGGATATCTTTCTCCAAAGGACACAAGTGTGGAAAGTTAGTAATACAAGTAAAACAGACCAACTGACCTACTCGTGGAGTATATATAAGGTCATCTTGAAAGATTTACAACTGCCATTTGCTCGTTTAAAAAGTTGTGAGATGTTTTAGAGGATTTGTTCAATTGATCAAAAGGGGAAAAGGAGAAATTCATTATTTAACACACACATCTGGTTTATTTAGAGCTACGGTAAAGAACTACATTTTCCCACAGCCAACGCTATTCCCTGAGTTTACAATGATAATTAAAACCTAAGGGCCAGGGATTTAGCTCAGTGATTTTGCCACCTGCTGCGCAAACACAAGGACCCAAGTTCGATCCCCGGTACCAAAAAATAAATAAATAAAACCGAAGCTTAGAAACTAGTGGCTCTGCTACTGTGTGATTTGGGGCAAGATTTACTTCATCTTTCTGGGCATGAGTGTCCTCATTTGATCAACTGGTATAATAATATCTGCCATCCACCTTTCCATACAGTAAGTACCTAGCATGGGACTTGGCACACACAGAGCTACTTAAAATATAGCACTACTTTTTCTTCTTGAAGTGGTTATGGCAGTGCATTTGAAAATCTGAAACACATACCCATCATAGGCACCGCTGACAATTCTCTTGTTATCAAATCGGATGCATCGGACCAATTCTTCATGTCCCTCTAGGACTCTTAAGCAGGCACCACATTCAATATCCCAAAGCCTTGAATGAAAAACAGACATCTGTGCAACAGATTCCCACATGAGTCATATGCTCCTCAAGTTCTATCTATTCTATACAGAAAGGACTTTGCACTACTCATGAGTTCTTTATTTCTACCTCAGTCAATATTACACACATAAAGATATATAAGGACACTTAAATCATTTGTGTCCTTTTTTTAGCATTAACTTAGAAGGAAACCTCACTTTCTGTTGTATTTCCTTTTATATACTTTGAAGCTTTCTAAAATCCTGAGCATTTACTATTTAAATCAAATCAACAAGGAACTTAAACTATACGTAGCTCCTAAGCATTCTCTTGATGTCTGAGTTGATAAAACCATGTAAGCAAACAGTACTGGAAATACTTTCCGGGAAGAGATGGCAACTTCAGGCAGTAAAGGAGAAAAAGCATGGGTAGGGAAGATGACAGACAGAAAATCCACATAGTCAGGGACTCTAGAACAGAGTCCATGAGGCCTCCTGAGGTTAGGACTAGTGGGCCAGAATGTGGTCTCCCAATCCTAATGACACTTTTCTCCCTTCATGTACTGTATTGGAGTTGTCTTGTTTTATAAGGTCTGAGTAGGAGACTAATTATGTATGGGCAGTACCTCGAAAATATAAACCTGTGGGCTACAACAAGTCTTTTTCTCTGTATACAATTAATTCAATAATGTTGCAGTTAAGAGATTTTTTCTCATTGATTTTTATACATTATTTACAAAAAGAATCACAGCAATCTAGAATGTACAAAACAGAGAACAAACTAAAGTTATCACTGACTTTGAAAGCTTCCACCAGGACCACCTATCATACGTCCAACGAACACTTTCCTACCACTGCCCTCACCAAATGCGCTTCACAGTGATGATGGCTCTGTGAACAGAGCCATTCAGCACTGCCACTATGACTCCAAAGTATAAACTGCAGAGCAATGCACATTATTATCTTGTAAAACCTCAGACAGTGCAATGAGGAAGTTAAGGACTGTTTACTTATTAACCACTCAACAGTTTACCAGAGGATACCCTGCAGCACATTTGCATTTGTGTACTCACTATCAGGAGCACAGCATGGCCTGGGCAGGTGTCACTTCATGCAATCGATTCTTATAATGAATAAATTTGATAAAGCTGTCATTCTTATATTTCCTGTCATATTATCTTATAAAAATTAATGAAAAACAGGCAATTTTTGGTCATCCTGTATTTAAATAATCAGACTGGTAAGTGGTTAAACATAACCACTTAAGCCATACCACAAAGCATGATGAATATGATAAAACCAAAATTTAAGCTCAAAACTTTTATGTATCTTAACACTTAAACTGATAAAGAAAACCTGCAAGTTTATATCACTGTATAAATACATACCATTATTATGTATATTAAAAACAAAAGACTCAAAAAAGAAAAAAATAGCAATATAGTTTTTTGTTTGTCTTAAAAAAAAAAATCTTGAACTTTATTTTATCTGGACTTTAGGCAGTTTGGTTTTAAGTTCCAAAATTAGCCACTTCTGTAAAGCTACTAGTATGTACTGGAATAGTGGAAAAAAAGGACTTGGGATAATTAAATAGATAATTAAGGGATGTTCTTAATAAGATATAAAATGTCTGTTCCTAATCATATTTATTAAAAACCAAAGAGATTGAGTGTTAGAAAGAGAAAGGGGAATTTGCAAAAAGAAACAACCAGCTGGAGAGGATGATTTTGTAGGGCGGTCTTGGGAGAAAGAAATCAAGTACACTGCAATCTGTTAGGGAGGGAAGTGGGTCTCACAGGTAAGGGAAAGCAGAATGAGTTAGGCTGGAACACTAGTTCCATCCCAGTCTATTGAGATGCACTGGTACTAAGTGATCCTGGGTACAGTTGAGGTTATAAAACGGTGTGCTGGGGTATCCTGGAAGAACACTCAGGGATACACAGCTGCCCATTTGAATATGCAGAGCCAAACAGATTTGTAAATGTGCCTAAGCTTTTCTTATCTGAAGCATCACATTTACTCTGAGTCATTCGACCCTCAGCACTGGGAAATAAATGAACGCTATGGCAAAAGTAAGCCTGCCCTGTCAGCACACCAACTTGTACTTACCTGATGGTGTTATCTGATGATCCACTGACCACCAGACGGTCCCTGTACTGGAGGCAGGCAATGCCTCGCTTGTGCCCATTGAGAGTGCGCACAAATTCACAGGTGCTCGTACTCCAGACCTATAAGACAAACAGCAATGTTCCTATGAATGAACGCAAGAGTCTTCCCACAATTCACCTTTTAAAATGACAGCACAATTTCTAAGAATGACCCTAATACGTGATTATAAAACATGGTCTCTTCTAACTCAAAATTGGAGCTGGCGGACTGATCAGACAATATAAAATGTTCTTGACTGCTGGGTGATAAAACTGGACTGAAAATACAGAAGGCAGTTGTGAAATCTCTAGACTTTAAGGTCTTCAAAGAGACATCTCCTGGATGGCTCAGATATTCAACTACCTTCAACAAAGAGTTTGCACCACATTTTATGTTTTCACACCAACTGACAGGTCACACCCAATGTAACTGATACTTTTTTGTTGTTGTTGTTACCGGGCATTGAACTCTCTGGTCCTTGTGCTTGTGAGGCAGGCGGCAGAACCACTGAGCTAAATCCCCGGCCATAACTGATACTTTTAAAATATCCACCTTTCATATCCTCTTTCCAAGCAGTTTCTTGAACAGCTGCATTTATTCTGACATATCACTCCTAATATTACATATGTAGAATAAATAATCCCTTCTCATGTAAAATCATCTGCTAGACTTAGATGTCCACAGACCCAAAATATGATAAACTAAGGACATACAAAGGAACTGCAGTGCTGTGAATTTTTATACCAGCTGCATTTTTAGTTGAATGGGATATTTACACACGCACACAAAAAAGGAGGAAGTTGAATCCCCTACCTCATATCATACAACTTTTTTTTCCTTAAATTCTTTTATTGGTACATTTTAGGTACACAATACATTTACATTTATCATTGGGTGTTTGTACCTGTACATGATGTATCTTGGTTACTTTTTTCCCCATTACTGTGTGCCCTTCACCCCGTCTACCCTTCCCTATTTACATACACTTTGTTTCCATTTTTCTTCTTTTCTCATAATTTTTCCTTTCCTTTCCCCTTCCCCACCCACCACCCCTACAACTTAGGACCTTTTCTTCCTATTTCAAATTATCATTTATTCCTTTTAATCATTTTAATCCTTACACTTTCAGTTTCTCACACTAGAGAAAGTATTCGGTATTTACACATGTATGTCCTATTTATTTCACTTAAGAGTATGGCCTCAATATGCATCTATTTAGCTATAAATGTCTCTAGTTTCTCATTCTTTATGGCTGAGTAGTACTCCATTTTATTAAAAAAACTACAACTTCTTTATCCAGTTTCCAGTTAATGGGTACTTGGGCTGTTTCCAAGCTTTAGCTATTATAAACTGTGATGCTATAAACATGGGTGCACATGTAACGCTGTGGTATGATTCTTTTAATTCTTTTGGGAAGATACCCAGCAGGGGAATAGCTGGGTCAAATAGCCAGGTCAATAGCTGGGACCTCCAGCCCTAGTTCTTTGAGGTATCTCCATACTGATTTCCACAGTGGTTGCAACAGTCTGCACTCCCACCAACAATGAAGAAGGGTTCCTTTCTCCCCACACCCCTGCCAGCATTTCTTACTGGTTGATTTCTTGATAGCAGTCATTCTTTCTAGGGTGAGGTGGAATCTCAGTGTTGTTTTCATTTGCATCTCTCGAATGACCAGTGATATTCAACATTTTTTCATATATTTATTTGCTTTTCTTTGAGAAATGTCTGTTCATTTCAGATGCCCATTTTTGAATTGGGTCTTTGAATGTGAGGGGTCTGATTTTTTTAAGTTCTTTATATATTCTAGATAGTAGTCCTTTGTCTAAGGTACAGGTGCTAAAAATTTTTCCCACATGTAGGTTGTCTCTTAGCTCTGTTGGTGGATTCTCTTGCAGTGCAGAAGCTTTTTAATAAGATGAGATCCCAGTTGTTGATTCTTTGTGCTAGTTCCCATGCCACTGAGGATTTGTTCATAAAGTCCTTTCCTATGCCAATGTCTTCGAGAGTTCAACCTAACTTATCTTCCAGCAAGTTTAGTGTTTCTGTCTTAATATTTAGATCTTTTATCCACTTTGATCTTAGTTTAGGGCATGGTGATAGGTATGGGTCTAGTTTTAATCTTTGGCAGGCTGAAATCCGGTTTTTCCAACATCATTTATTGAACAGGCTATCTTTCCTCCAATGAGGATGGTTGGCTCCTTTGTCAAAGATGAGGTGGCTCAGTATGTCTGGAGTTCTTTCTGCAACTTGTAATCTATTCCACCAATCCTCGGGTCTGTTTCTTTGCCAGTACCATGCTGTTTCTATCACAGTAGCTTTGTAGTATAGTTTCAAGTTGGGGATTGTGATACCCCCAGCCATGTCTCTGTTGCTTAGAATTGCTTTTGCTATTCTAGGTGTCTTCTGGTTCCAAATGAATTTTTGGGTTGTTTTCTCTAGTTCTGTGAAGTATATTGTTGGAATTTCAATCGGCATTGCATTAAATCTATATAGTAGTTTTGGAAGTATGGCCATTTTCACTATATTGGTTCTTCCTACCCAGGAACATGGGATGTCTTTCCATTTTCTTATATCCTCCTTGATCTCCTTTTTTAGAGTGCTGTAGTTTTCAGTGTAGAGGTCTTTACCACACAACTTTCAGTATAAGAAAACACAGAAGTAAATCTTTTTAACTTGGGATCAGACAATGGTTTCTTAAATATTGCAAAAACAAAATTTTTTTTTTTCCTCTGGGAGGCTGAGGCAGGAAGATTGCAAGTTTGAGTCCAGCCTAGGCATCTTAGCAAGACCTTTATCTTAATAATAATAATTAAAAAAATAGGGCCAGGGATTTAGCTCAGTGGTTCTGTCTCCTGCCTCGCAAGCTCAAGGTCCCAAGTTCAATCCCCGGTACTGAAAAAGATAAAAAATAAAAAAATCCAAAAAATAAAATTAAAAAAATAAATAATAAAAAGGGCTGGAGATGTAGCCCAGTGTCAAGGCTCTGGGTTCAATTCCAATAATTAGTTAATTAATTAATTAATTTTAAAAAGTGGGACAGCATTAAAATTAAAATCATTTATGCTTCAAAGGACACCATAAAGAAAGAGAAAAGATACCCCTAAAGAATGAAAGAAAATATTTGCAAATCACGTATCTAATCAAGGACTTGTATCCAAAATATGTTTTTAAAAACTTTACACTCAACAGTAAAAAAGGGAATTATTTCAAACGGGCAAAATATTTCAATAGACATTTCTCTAAAGAATGCATTCTCATGACCAATAAGCATATGAAAAGATGTTCAATGTTATTAGTCATTAGGGAATGTAAAGCAAAACCACAAAGAGTACTCCTGCACACCCGTTATGATGGCTGTAATTTTAAAAGACAGATAATAACAAGTATTGGCAATAATATGGAGAAATTTGTCAGGTTGATATTATGAAAGCTGTTTTGACTTCCAGGCACTGGTCTTGTAATAACTAGTGAGTGTGGGGTAAATTAATGCATACAAATGCCAGTTGTTCGGCTTCCAGACTACCCAATCTAAATTTGGATGCAATATAGTCTGTGATTTGTGAGGCTAGGCATCAGAATATTGTACAGTGTTGGTCCTTTGAAAAATGGTTCTTTGAGCAAGTTCAAACACTCATACACCACTGATAGGGTTATAAAATGGTGCAGCCACTTTGCAAAACAGTTTGACAGTTTCTCAAAATGTTTAAGCCAGAGTTACCAACCCAAGAGAACTGAAAATAAACAAACATGCAAAAACTTGTACACAAATGTATATAGCAGCATCATTACTCCTAATAGCCGAAATTTGAAAACAAAATGTACACTGAAAATTAAACAAAATACAGTACATCAACACAGTGGCTTGTATTTGGTCATTGGAAGGAATGAAGTACTGATGTGTGCTACAATGTACATGTATGAGCCTTGAAAACATATGCTAAGTAAAAAAAGCCGCACACAAAAGGCCATATATTGTATGATTCTTTTTATATATAAAATGTCTAGAATAGGTCATCCATGGATACAGAAGGTAGATTAGTGATTGCCAGGAGCTGAGGGAGAGGGTGGCTGTCTACTAATGGGTATGTTTTATCTTGTGTCTACATGACCTCCCAAAGCCCCATGCACTCATTGGTGAGGCTTTTCAGAGCTGGCTGGATGTGGACTGTGTTATACTGGGATTAGGATGTGTAGTACTTAGTCCACTGGCTGGAATAGCTCTGGATGTAGATGGCACTACCCTAAAGGTCTGTAGCCTGTTTGGGATAAAAGGGAGAGGCAGGCTCCGTTCTGATGCTGCTCCCTGCTGCTTTCTGCCTGCCCTTCCATACCATGAGCTGCTTCTCCTCTGTGATGCCCCTCTGCTATGCCACCCAGTCTTGGAGCCAGCTGACTATGGCCTGAAACCTCGACAAACTGTGAGCCGAAATGAATCCTTCCTCTTTTAACTTTGGGTGTCAGGTATTTTGTGCCAGCAGCCAGAGAAAGTAACTAAGACAAGATATGGGATAGTTTAAAGTGTGATAAAATGTTCTGAAACTGTATAGTGGTTATGTGATGGTATACAACACTATGAATATACTAGTGACCACTGAACTGTACACTTGAAAACACTGAATCTTATGGTAAGGAAGTTATATCTAGTAAAACTACTATAAAAATATAAGAAAGTTAAAATTTACAAAGTGTCATGCATTGTGGCACATGCCTATAATTCTAGCACTTGGGAGGCTGAGGCAGGAAGGATCACTGTTGAGTTCAAGGCCAGCCTGGGCTACATGGTGAGTTTAAAGCCAGCCTGTCTCAAAAATAAAGAAATTAATTAATTAATTTTACAAGTGGTAACATGGACACTGGAATCAGAATTGGGTTTACGAATTTTGAGGTCATCTTAAATTGCAACTCTTGTCGCCTATCTGAAGCTCACCACATGCTGTGGTTCTTCAAGACAGGGACGTATCTTGTTCATCCTCATTTCTCCAGCATCCATCCCAGGGACTGTGGCATAGTAAGCCCTCAAAATTAAAGGAATTAAGGGAATACATCAAATCTAAGCTCTGCTACAACATATCTATGTGATCTCTAGCATAGTTCTCCACTCTCTGAGCCACACTTGTAAAACAAGAGATACCATTTTCAAAAGGGTACTGGGAGATGGTTACATGAAGCTGCTAACCCACAGAGGACACTCAACAAGTGAATTCTCTTGCCCCTCACAAGGTTACTAACAATATCACTTCACAAAACTGAGGACTGCTCTCTATTCCAGACCCACAACTTTTTCTCCTATCTTGCCTGTGACTCTAGAAGCATACTGAATGGGAGGTTCTCAAAGGCTCATGAGCACAGATGGAGAAGAATGGAGATCTTGCCAGGTAACAGGCTGGTATAGGCCTGTTGCAAAGGGAGATTAGGGAGGGTTATGACTACAGACACACTTACTTTGATGGTCCTGTCTCCAGAGGCGGACACGATGTACTTATCATCAAAGTCTACCACATTGACAGCAGCCCGGTGGCCAACCAGAACTCGGCGTAGAGTGATATCAGTGGCAGAAGCCATATCCCACACAGCAATGGAGCGGTCCTTGGAACAAGTCACCATCAATCCATTGCTGAAGCGTAAGTGCAGCACAGCCTCATTGTGATGGATCAATGTGTTAAGAACTTCACCTGTGTTCACATCCCAGACCCTAGAGGACAAAAATGCATGACATTTAATCATAGAGACAACCAGGGAAAGACTCTGATGCCTGAGCTCTTGGTCTATTCTTAACATGCTTATGTACATGCTTAATGTGCCTGGTACATGCTAAAAGGAGGACTCCAACAGTACTTCACTTGCTGAGAAAGTTTCAGGCTCTGCTCAGGTTTCTTTGGTACTAATGAATGCAGGCTTGTGCTGAAGGCAAAAATTATTCCTCAAGAAAGCAGCCTATCAATGAGTCTGAGATACCAGGAGGAAGGAGGGGTGACTGCCGAGGGATTGAGGATGGTCTCAAGTTTAAGACTCTTGTTGACCTTTGGCAGGCCCCTGAGTCTATTATTTACTCCCTGCAAACTAGAAGTCACAACATCTCATCACCCTCACTACTTTACTCAACTGTGTATGCTGTGAATGGCTGGAGGAAGAGTCCAAAGGTATGGCAAGACTAGTAACCAAAACTAACTTAAAGAGAGGAATGAAAAGGGGGGAAACATGAGAACCCAAGGACAAACTGAGCTGCTACTATTCCAACCTCCTGGGTATGCCTGTAAAACAATCCTTTCCAAGTACCTAAGCCAGCACAGAACGGGCACTTCCTTCTGCTCCCCATGCCTTCCCAGCCACCGGTAATCTAGCTGAGGCTTCACTGCATGACCTATTCTGTGCTGGACTCACCACTACCCTATTCAAAGCCCATCAGGGTGGGGAGATATGCTGGGCCCCAGGGATGTAAGACTGGATATCAATTCTACTTTCTCAACTCCTGACCAGCAATCACTGCTTCCCTTCTACTATGGAGCAATATCATTTTCAATTTTATCACTGCTCTTGGGGGGGCTACTAAAAACTAGTTTTCACTACTGGAAAAGGTACTAACAGAGTCCTGACTGATACAAATTCAAGGTTCAACATGTACTGTATGATTCTGAATACATTATCTGAAAATTAATTATCTGGTCTTAGTTTAATATATCTTTAAAAGTGAAGGTAGCATCTACCTACATGCAAAGACTGATGTAACAACTTAACGTTACATGAAACATCTAGAATACTCTGGCTCTCTCTTTTCTGTGTCCCTCAGAAGTGTTTGCAAACTGTCTGATTCTTTCAATACCTGTAGGTTAGCACCTACCACGCTCCTAGAACAGCTGCCTGCTACCTCCCTGCTCTGGACCACAGGCTCCCAAGAGGAGAAAGCAAGCCTAATATCAGGCAATGTGTTCTTATAGAAAAGCATGCTGTCAGCTCTATACCTTTTGGCAAGAGAAATAGGACACACTTAAAAATTAGCTTGTCTGCCTACCCTGCTCAAATGCATCTACATCAAAAACGGTTTTGAAATATAGCAAGTAACAACATTTACAAAGTATATGTGTGCTGATCTCAGAAGACAGCATACATCTCAGTCTCCCTGTAGAAGGATTACAAGGTCAGACAAGGGAAACCAGATCACTCACCTCACTGTAGAGTCTGAAGAGCCAGTTACAATGACACGTTCATCATACTGGAGACACAGGACAGAGCCTGTGTGCCCTGTTAACACTTTCAAACACTCCAGGCTAGTTTTATCCCAGATCTATTGAGACAAGATCAAACACAAACAGTGATTTAATATATCACATTTTTATTGTCACCTCTTGTATTCTGAATCATAAAACATACCTGTGTTAGAGTAAATAAGAACAAAATATTAAAAAGGTAGGAAATGAAAAGGAACAGGGGCAATATAGATTAACTTCCAGAATAGATGTGCTATTTTGTTTAATTTGTACTCTAAGCTATTGTACTCATTACACTTATCAATAGCCTTATAAAGGAAAATTTTAAATAAAATCTGTGAAATGTCAGCTTCACCTGAGAGTCAACATAACAATATCTATTAAGATCCTTTAAAAATGTATATCCCCATGGAGCCGTAATCCCTCCGTACTCTCAGAGGGTGAGGCAGGAGGACTGTAAGTTCAAGCCCAGTCTGAGCAACTTACCTGAATTACCAAGAACCTGCTCAAAACAAAAAATTTTAAAAAGGGATGGGGATGTAGATCAGTCCAAAGGCCCTGGGTTCAATCCCCAGCAAGGGGTGGGGGGGTACATTCAACATTTCAGAAAAACCCAAAGGTAAACTATTAAGAGCTCTAAATGAGAAAATACAGTGTTTTATTACAGAGTTAAACATCTAAGAATCATAATAAAAATTGTCTATTTAGTGACAATTATATGTTTTTAAAAGATTAAAAGGAAGTAAAATGTTAGTAATAGTTGTTTTTATACTCTGAGTGTTCTTTTTCTACCTTCTTTTACTGTCTCTACAGTTGTCTTTTCTAGAATGTCATATTGGAAACCACCATGTTACCTTTTCAGATTGGCTGCTGCTTTAATTTAGAAATATGCATTTATGGTTCTTCCATGGCTTACTAATCTAATTGCCTTTTAGTGATAAGAATTATTCCATTATCTAGAATATATATATAATATGCATATATATTATATACATATATACATATATGCATGCATATATATACACACACATACACATTTCTCTCTCTCTCTCCTCATCTATTAAGGGCACTTTGGTTGTTGCCCAATTTGGCAATTATAAATAAAGCTGTTATAATGTGCAGGTTTTTGAGGAGACGTAAGTTTTCAACTCCTCTGAGTAATACTAAGTAGTGCAACTGCTGGATCATATGGTAAGAGTATGTCTAGTTATATAAGGACTGCCAAATTGCCTTCCAAAGTAGCTGTACCATTTTACATTTCTATGAGCAATAAATGAAGAGTTCCTGTTGCTCCACATCCTTGCCAGCATTTGGTGTTGTCAGTGTTCTGGATTTTAGCCATACTAATAGATATGTAGTGCTATCTCATTGTTGTTTTAATTTGCATTTTCCTGGTGCCATATGGTGTGGAGCGTCTTTACACATGCTGAGTTGCCATCTGTATATCTTCTCTGGTGAGGTCTCTATTAAGGCCTTTGCCCATTTTTCATATAGTTGTTTATTTTCTTATTGTTGGTTTTAAAGGTTTTTAGAAATGTCTTTTACAAATATTTTTCCAATCTGCAACTTACTTTCTTAAGCTCTTGACAGTGTATCTCACAGAGCAGATATTTTTAATTTTAGTGAATTCTCGCTTATTGTTTCTTTCATTGTGCTTTTGGTGGTGCACCTAAAATATCACCATCAAACCCAAGGTCATCTCACTTATATAAGTGGGCAATCTACTCACAGGTTTTACTCAAGTGAACTGAAAACAAGGTTCTCACAAAAACCTACATGGATTTACAATGGCTTTAGTCACAGTTGTGAGAAACTGTAAACAATTCAAATGTCCTTGAAATACTAAATGGATAAGCACACTGTAGTGTACCCAATAAAATGAAGTACTATTCAGCAATAAAAAGGAATGAACAACACAGATGTATCTCCAATGTGCTATACTAAATATAAGCAGCCAGATTCAAAAGGTTACACATTACATGGATCCACTGATAAAACATTCAGGGAAAAAAAAAATATAGGGATGGAAAAAAAAGATTATCGGTTTCCAGGGTATGGGGAGAGGTGGGTGGGAAGAGGTGATTACAAAAGGACAAGACAAGGGGATTTGATGGGACAAGAGAACTGTTCTGTTCTTGTTATTATAGTTGTACCCCTCTATGTGTCTGCTTTACAGCAAACTTTCTTATATGTAACTCAAAAAAACCTACTTAAAAAATCCTCAATGTTTTCTTAAACATGAGGAAATAAGCTACAAACAATGTAGAACAAACTGTCAGCTCAGCCAGCAGATTAAACGAGGAAAAATAATGCAGCATATCAACTATTTAAAAATGAAAACAATTTAAGTCACTTTATCATTTTTCATATTATCATCTGAGCCCTTCTCAAAAACTGCAAAAGGTAATGACTTTCACTTACAAGCAAACTAGTAATAGTCTCACCAGTCAGCAAAGTAATCAAGAGCCTGGGATACTGGGACAGTTTCTACTTACACCTAAATAGAAACTATAGAATGTGAGTGTACTTACAGGAGGGTAAGAAGTGAGACAAGCCAGGGCCTTTACTAGTTACAAGGAAATGCTCTGGCTCTAGTTTTTCAGAACCACCCTGGGAGCTGCCATAGTTGAGTGGAATAGATAAAAACCAATCTGCAGTTAATGGAAAGGTTGTCACATCTAGTGTCTGGCACATAACCACAATTCTAAAAATAACACATACAAAATGTAGTCATTCACCTTAATAGAATTATCTCGTAAGCCACTGATAATTTTTTCATCATCATACTGTAAACAGTAGACACCTTTACTATTTTCAGAGCGACACTGAATCCTCTGCAAGTTGTGTCGTCCACACCGCCAGTTAGATTCTATAGTCTAGGGGAAAAAAGGAGACAAGAGATGAGTTTTTGTGAATCAACTATTCTACTAGGTTTCAGAATTTGGGGTCATTTCCAGAAGCAGCATACCAGTGATATCCCAATCTTGGTTTGCATAACTGTCTGTGGAAAGGAATCATGCTCTTTTCCAAGTAAGACATTAGCCCAACAATGTTTTTTCTCAAACTTTCCCTGCCCATCTGGCAACTATCACAGGATTTCCAGTGAGTTTTGGGTTAGGTCTGAAATGGCCTAGACAGAATTCAATATGTTTAAAGAATGTCATTTGTGCCCAAAACATACAAATAAATAATAACTCATTGGGTCACTTACTAATGCCAATTAAAATATCTGGCAAAAGCCTACAGCCACCATTAAGCATATACTCAAACTTTATGTACCCAACCAAATACCTAATCACTGAAAAAAGATACTGTAACTAGTACTATACAAGCCAGCTACATAAAAAAATGTGTTATCATTTTTAATCTCCCATTAGAATGATACATTTCAGCCCTGGATTCCCATTTTCCTCATTCATGCAACATTTACTGAAATGTTAGTATATTCCAGGTTCTATTATAGATATTAGGGATTTAAAAAAACAAACAAACAAAACAGAAAACATCCTACATCAAAGGAGGCATTTCTCTGGTAACTAGGCACAGTATCTAGAACTGGAGCCCCAGACTGTCCCTGACTTAAAATGGTTCAACTTAGAATTTTTTAGCTTTCTAGTGCAAAAGCAATACACGTTCAGCAGAAGATGTGCTTTCTTTCCCTGGCTCACCATCTGCAATACTGGGCAGCAGCAGTGAGCCACAGCTCCCAGTCAGCCACTCGATCACAAAGAGAAACAACTGAAACTCTGCAGTGCACTGTGTTGCTAAGTTGTTGGTAAGGTTTGGTGAATTCAATGCATTTTCAACAGGATATTTTCAAAAAACAATGCAACTCCATCATAAATCAAGGAGCATCTGGACTTCAAACTAAATTTATTTGGATAGAAGATCAACACAATATATTTGGAAGGAAATTTTCATTATTTTCCTTGAATAAACAAGGACAGAGTCTAACTTGCCTGAGAACACAAAACTAATAATTGGAATGGCTGGAAATCACACCCAGTTTTTTCTAACTCAGTCCACGCTTTTGCTATGGTCCCACCTCTTGAGGCAGTGAGCACAGAACATAAGATCTGGAACAATTCAGATAAAATATCAGTGCCAAATGAGTGATAAAATCTCTAAATGCTGCAAGACTTGAGGGAGATCAAGAGAATCTAGCCTGAGACCATCGGGCCAAGTTTAATGAGGATGTGAGTTATATCCAGAGCACCAGAAGACCTACCCTTGGGTAGTGGATATGAGGGATTCTTCAGAACTCAAAGATACAATGTCTCCCCTAAACACAATCATTCTGAATTTCTAGTTTTTGAAATTAGGGGATAATAAGGGACTACAATAACTGGTTACACTCAGTTTAGGATATAGTTTGAAAGCTTATCTCTGAGTAGCTAAAAGCTCATCTTTACTCACAATAAGCACCTAATTACTAGCTCTGTTGACATCTAACAAATCATATTTACTCATTTTGAAGGCAGTATGCTTCTGTACTCTGCAAAACTTACTGATACTATTTATTATTATTTAGAGAAATAATATACTTTAGATAGTAAGCCTGCCACGTCGGCAGGTTAAGCATTGCAGGAAAATGCTGACTTAGGAGGCAAGATGCACTGGTAACAAGACTGTTTCCTGGCTGTGACTCTTGACAGTAGTTATCCACGTTCAGGCGACACCTTTTATAAGCTACCAAAGTTGATAGAGAATTGTATGACTCTATATGAACCCAAAGTATTACAAAGATGAATATATAACCTGTTTTACATATATTAGGTGTTGTTTTTAAGTTCATATAACTTCCCTTTGGTTTAAAACATACACTACTTTAAAATGCTATTGAATTAGTAAGCAGTTTTCTTAATATATACTCCTTCAATGAGTAGAAAAAGCATATCAATTCTCATATGTGAGTTTGAAAAAAACCTTTTTTCATTTAAAAAGAAGAATAAGAGAAATTTCCTACGTCCTCCCATTTCTATTTTCTACAGTTGGTCACGATCTTTTACTGAACCTAAAGCCCCAAAGACATTAAGAGAGGACTAAAGATTGGAGCTGGGATAAGGCCACACTTTCAGCTTGTAATACATCAGTCTCTGAGATATCACACAGATATCTCACAGATATCACATAGATGTCAACACAGAGAATATCTCCTGACAGCAAAGGCTGGATCATGCCATCTACTTCCAACCCTCAAACAAGAGCTATGAGGATAGGACTTTGTAAAAGGTCTACTAGATATCACACTTTGATTCTAAGTTGAATGGAAGTCAAGAAATGAATTAGCTTTTCAATGCTTATAAAAAGCCTAATTTTCTAAAATATACCTCTGAATTAAAAAAAAGTTTGCAAATAATTCTTATTGGATCTGGTGAGGAAATCCCCTGTTAGGGCTATGTTTAAAAATCATTAGAGGTAGAGCACTTGCTTAGCAGGCATAATGACCTGGATTGACTTTCCAGGACTACAATTTTAAAAATTTTAAATTAAAAACTTAAAAAAATAATCATTAGATTCCTGAATCCTAAGAGAAGTAGGTTGTTGGAACCAGATCGGGGAGTCCTGACTAGCTGTCCAGCCACCCGGGCATTCCCAAGGCCACCCACACAAGAAGGCAGCACTTCCTACTGACCATGCCTGCCCAAAACACTGCCACCATGTGTGACAACCTCAACCCTTCTTGGATGCTTCTCGGCCGGGTCTTTTTTAGAAAAAACAGATCTTTAGGCCTGGCAGGCAGCCCACTGTGGCAGAAAATGCCCAGGTCAAGTAGCAGTCTTTACAAGTAACTCAGACCGTCTGACAGCAGTTTCCTCCTCTGTAAAAATAGGAATAGTAACATCTACATCCTCAAAGCACTGTAAAGATCAAGTAAGGTTACCTAGGTGAAGGTCTCATCATAGTGTCTACTAAGAATACTGACAAAAACAGTGGGCCCAAACAAACAACTAAAACAAAACCCAACCCCCCTAAAAACAACCACCACCACCAACGGCCTCATTAAATTGCCAAGAATTGTTATCTAGGTGGATATGTAATGTTGACCACCTGAGCAACCTGAAGTGTTCCCAGGAAGGTGCTCAGCCTTCAAGTGAAATGCAACTATTACATTAATGTCAGCAGCAGGAACACTTGCACACACAGGTGCACCTCTTTAATTATGTGGGTACCTGCCATTTCACTCAGCCATCACGTGGTATAGCTACTGTTGAGGAATATTTCATGTTTTTGAGAACTTGTAAAATCCCCTTACCCTGTGCAAATTTTCAAAATACTGGGAAAGTAGCCATGATACACAGAGTATACAGCAGCATTTAAATTGGCAATAGAGTGAAAACAGATGTCTGAGTATGGAGGAATAACATTATTTTTAGAAGCCTAAACACAACTGGGTGGGTGGGCAAGTTTCAGCATTTTCTAGTCAGGACAATGTTAATATCAAGTTTTCAAACCACAAAAAAGCTCCCTACTTTCCCTGAATATAACGTGGTTTATTAAAAGGTGTGATACAATACACCATCATTTTCCCAGTAGTCTGTTCCAAGGAGAATGCTTTAAAGCCCTTATTCCAGTGAGTAAAGGGAGGAAAAGTGGTGTATTAGATGAAAGAGTTTGTCACTACACTGAAATGGCAAGAGAAAAATCCAATTCAGGACATCGGTCTGTTATAACAGTGCTCACCTCTAAAGCTGTAAATGGGCAACTGGGGAGGGGTGGTGGGCATAAACATCCACTTGACATTCCGGGGGTCAATTTATCTTTTGACAATGTACTTAAAACGCTTTAGAGCAGCACCTTTCCTGTAACTGGACTAAAACAAGGCCAACTAATCTTATCTTAACTCACAGCCCTTTTTCAACTGTCAAGGTCACTGAGTATTCTTACACTTGGAGGAAGATGAGAAGACCAAGCTGAAATTTTGTAGACATAAAACAACATGCCTTTTTCTTCCTCACTTCTTGAATTTTCCACTTTGAAAATAATACCCAAGTGTAAGCTTAGAGCTACACAGACCTAGGTTAAAATCTCATCTCATCCATTCAATTATGCAGCAAGTTCTAAACCTTTAATCTGTTTCCTTTTATATCAATAAGGATAATAATATGTACATTGCTATAAAACTTAAATGCAATAATCTATGCAAATCACCTAACATAGTTCCTGGTATACCACAAGGGCTCAAAATAGGGTGCCTGTTATTATTATATCCTGCATGTGAGAGTTTCATACCAGCCATATGGTCAGAGCCAAGTTCATGACAATTTCTCATTTATTTGATCCATGGATCACTGAAAGAATTTGTTACATGTACGTGTGCCCTGGACAGAATAAAGCATACTCCCACAGCAGAGGGAAAGAACTCTTCTGGGGTGGTACCAGTGATCTATAAGAAACTTACATGCAAGAGTATCAGGTCTGATACCAGATTCCATTCCTCACTAGCTGTGTTTTCCAGAGCAAGTCATTCAACCTTTTTGAGTCTATGTTTCAATTTTAAATAAGGACTTGACCTACTTTTCAGGTTTCAGCCAGAATGTTCATTGAGAAAATGTATTATAAAATGCTAAACAAAGTATATGGCACAAGTAAATACTCTATTAGTGGTACATTATTTTTGTCACTATTACTATTAACGAATATACTAAAGTATAAACATCATTTCTTATACTAAGAAATTTAGCCCACAAAAATCTGGAGGAGACGCTTGTGGCCTACCAGTGGGTTTTCCTAAACCACACTTTAAGAACCACTAGGAAGACCACCATGATGGAGAAGTTTTGTATCAAATAGGGTTTTCCCCCCATGGCTCTGCTTCCCCTCACATCTGCCTCCTCCACTACAAAATTTTTTTTTTTTTGGTACTGGGGATCAAACTCGGGACCTTGCGCTTGCGAGGCAGGCGGCGGAACCACTGAGCTAAATCCCTGGCCCTACAAAATATGATTTTAGCCTAAGGAAACAGTTATGGTATGTGGTGTCACATACTATCATATGTGATACTGAGTTCACTTACTGTGCATTATAACAGTAGTCATGATGATTAAATAAGCTATGTCCACCAAATCTTCAACTTCATCAAAGTTATTCCAGAGTTCCTGTTTATTATTGACTGAATTTAAGCATTATCCCTTTCAAATAAACAGCCTGATAAAATCATTCAAGGAAACTTGGAGATACTTTGTAAATAGTTGCCTCCACCCAAAAGAACAGAAAATAATATATATATCTAAGACTTGTACACAATCAATTTCTTAGCACAGCTATCTAAAGGTAAGACAGAGCCCCTGTCCCATGACATACACATACATCGATCTAAGATTAGAGTTAACACTAAATCTCATCTACTAACACTCATCTACTAACTGCAAGGATGATTTATTCTAAGTTTTGAATTGCCAATGGATCCATTAATCCCTAAACTTTATGATTTTCAATTATTTAACCCTACCGAAAAGGTTATAGTCTCAGTTATTTTAGAGAACAGAATACTAAAAAAAACAAAAAAAACAAAAAAGGTTTGTGTTTTAAATCATGATATTCCGGTTAAAGAGGAATGGTTCATTAGTTCACATCTGACTGAAAAGGGGGATGAGGAAACAGGATCTAAAAAAACACGTTTCTCTATTAAAGAATTTTGCCACAATGACTTTTATGTCTATCACCTGGGCAGGTGATTACTTCACATTTGGGAAGCTGAGTATAACTTTATGGGAATGCAGCATTGCCCAGTGAAGGCTGAACTTTCCTGCCAAGGAGGAAATAGTGAAGTAACCAAGACCAGCCAGGAACACATGTGAAAGAGTTAATAAGAAATGCCTGTGTATGTCTTTCCTGGTTCGAGGAAAAGGGTTCAATAATACAACCACACTAATTAGAACACATGAACAATATCACACATCTCTTAATGTTTCTCATCAAGTTTAGAGTTTTTCCCCCTGGTCTGGGGAAGTTACATTCAAAGCCAAAATGACCCAGAAGCATAATTTGTTCTATAAAACCTACTTAACTAATATTTAGAATAATTTCTGGACCATTTTTATTAAAAATTATGGGTAATTTAGAGGAAACTGCAAGTGTCCCTTCCTCTTAAGAGATGGCGCCAAAAATTTAAAACTATGATTACCTTAACAATTAGGCTTTGAATTTTAGAAAATTTATCAAATTAGAATAAATAGCTATTTTTTGATTAGTGATTAACTGGTAGTCTTTCAAAAGGATTTCATGTCTTAGAAACATTAGGTTTAGCAGAAGGCATGACCTCCTCTGAATAGCTGCAGATTATGTATTGTGACATTTACCCCCAAAAACTCAACTTAAAAAAATACTGATTGTAGAACAAAAGAACACTTTAAGGCAACATAAAAGACTGAGAACAAGGCACAAAGAGCCCATAAAACAGATAAATCATAAAGTTACCTCTATGTCCTGAATAATCTTTGGGTATAACGACCTATAAAATGAATTGGGAGGGCCATCTGTGGGTCTGTTTTTAAACAGGTACTGATCCCTGGCAAATAAAAACAAACAGATGTTACATTTTTGAACATAAAAGGGTAAATTTTATTTAAACATGGTGCTTACAAACATCTTTTATGTTTTTTAACTTCCATTGAGTTTTAATAGTTCAAAAGCAAAATTTCTAACAAAATTTTGTCAGAGACATGTTTAGTTCAATTTACAGCTAACTGACATGAGGCTGGCCTTTTGTTTTCTGAGTGCTAACACATAATAATGTAGCCTTTCATTCTAAAGAGTTTATTTAAAAAGAAGTGCTAAGAAAAATCTTAGTCCACATCAAACTTCCTCCCAGAAAGAAAATACAGCCCAGCCAGGCATGGTGTCACATGCCTATTAATCCCACTGCTCTGGGAGGCTGAGGCAGGAGGACCCTATGTTTGAGATTAGCCTAGGCAACTTAGTGACTCAGCAAGACCTTGTCTTAAATAAAAATAAGGGAGGCTGGGGATAAAGCTTAGTGTGAAGGTTCCAGGCTCAATCAAGGAAAAGGAGGGGGAAGAAGAGGGAAAAGGAGGGAAGGATAGAGGGAAGAAGAGAGTGAGGGAAGGAGAGAGTGAGGGAAGGAGGGAGGGAGAAGAGGCAAGAACAAGGGGGGAGGGAGGAAGGAAGAGAGGGAGGGGAAGGGGAAGGAAAGGGGGAGGGGAAGGGGGGAGGGGAAGGGGAAGGGAGGAAACAGAGTCCTAACCTTCACTCTCATCGTCCCTGTACTTCAGTTCATAGCTCTCTCTCTCTACACTAACTGGACCAGGCCACTGTCATGGATAGAGCTATAAAGCTGCATTTAAGTACATGGGTTTTCTCTGAAAAATCCTGTCATTGTGCCTCCTATATCCTCAACCAGAAGTAATAACAAAAAGCAAAGCAAGGGCCGGGATTTAGCTCAGTGGTGCCGCTGCCTGTCTCACAAGTAGAAGGTCCTGAGTTCGATCTCCCAGTACCAAAAAAAAAAAACAAAGTAGTATTACTTGACTCATATTTTTCTTTCGTCTTACATATCTTTTGATGATGGTATTATTGCCTAAGGAAAAAGCATAAATTTATAGCTGTGAAAAGCCAAATCACCCACTCAAACTAAACAAAACTCTGTAACAGTTAATAAATATAAAGGAAATTTCGTGTTTCAAAAGAACTTCTAACAGCTTTAACTTTTCCCCCCAACTCTTGACCTTGTTTAAAATAGGCAAACACAGTTGCAAGTATAATTGCTTTCCTGAATAATTAAGCTGACTCTATGTCAAAGACTTTTTTCAAAGGAATAAGCAACCCAAGTACTTACCACCCTCTTCTTTCTGAAAGTCCTTTCCACAGAGGATCAGTGCGTACCATTCGTTCAATCAGCTTCTTCCAAAGCATTCCTTCTGAGATCACTCGCTGCCATTCTTTGCATACCAGCTCTGCTGCACACAGAGATCTGGCATCCAGGTAGGAAAGAATGTTTTCTGCTATGTGATCTAAACCTTGCTCTACAAAACATAAAAGGGAATGAAGGAATGGACAGGGAGGTAGAAATGTGTAACCATTATTTCCTTAAAGATAAGAAAAATAAATTCTGAACCAGCTAAAATACTTCAGCAACATCAAAAGGCCTACCGATATACAAATGCACATGTACTGTGTACAGATTTATACACTTCATTTTGTTTTGTTTTGTTTGTTTTTTGCAGTACTGGGGATCAAACTCGGGACCTTGAGCTTGCTAGACAGGTGTGGTGCCACTGAGCTAAATCCCCAGCCCTTTGATTTTTTTATTATAAAACAACTGATAGTAACTGTTCTCTGCATAAAAGCTGACCCTGGAAAGTTCTGTATTTGTCATATTATAATAAAAGATTTATTTTCATTTTCTTTTACATAATTCTTACAAAATGTCTATGGGATGTCTCCCTCAATTTTACAGATGAGGTATGAAGAGGCTTTACTCAGTGGTGAAGCAAGAGTAGCACTCAAGATTTCCTGCTAATAAATTTGTGCTCATTCTCCTTATTTACTGACCATATCCACCAGTCCATGCCCTCTGTGTCTCCCTATGAGCTAAGAAAATCAAAAAGGTCAAAGTGACCCAACTTTAAAAATGTTATGAAAAGTTAAATGCAAGCCAAAGTTAAAATTGGTTGTGTTCAGATGTAACTCTGTCAATCTTTTTATCTTCTTGTGCATATCCACTTTATGTTCCTGAACTGATGCTAAGAACCCTCAAAAGCAATGGCTACATGTTTACCAGTTTTGGAGCACTGGAAATTATGGGGTTCAACAGCCCACATAATTCAAGGGTCCTCACACAGATAATCATTCAAGATGAGCCTCTGCCTGACATTTACATAGAAAAAAGATAACTACTGGCATCACTGTGCTACCTATCAACTCCCTTTCAGTAGTTCTAGGAGTGACCAATGTAACTACACAAAATGAAGCCCCTCTGCAAGTCTGTTCTGTTTAGAGATGAAAACACAGAACATATAGTCAGAAAATCCCAATTTTATATTGCAGGTTCACTACCTATTAGTTCTTACTATTTCTATAACATAAAACAAATACCAAAATGTCCCTTTGCCTTGATTTTCTACCATACAAAATGGTAATCACCAGTAACAACTGCCCATTCTCACATTAGGAAGAATCAGTAAGAAGCAAATTAAACAAACTTATGAAAAGATTTTAAAGACAATAAAGCACTCTACTAGGTTAATGTTTGTTCTTTTTCAAAATAAAGAGAAGAGGCAGAGTAATTTTAAGCTTAGTGATAAAGACCAAGATGTAAATCGTTAAGCTTTCCTCCTCTGTATAAAATAGGGGCAAAAATCTCTGCTTTATTTTGAAAATATCAAAATGAAATGATGTAAACAAATCCTTTACAACCAAGCACACACCTGTCAAGTGAAGTACTCAGGAAGCTGACATTGGAGGATCTTAAGTTTGAGGTGAGTGTGGGCAACTTAAGCCAGGCTCTTTCCCAAAATATAAACAAACAAACAGGCCTGGTATGGCTCAGTAACACAGTATTTGTTAAGCATATGGGACCCTGGGTTTTATTCCCAGCACTGAAGGAACAAACAAAAACTTTACAAAGATTTTTTTGAACTCTCAGACGAACTGTGGTTACACTGTTGATTGTGGTATCCAGATCTTTCATGTACAAACTCTCCTACTCTGGATTACATCTAATATCTAATGATAACAAAGACTTCACTGGGACCACTATCTTTTCTTAATCTCATTATTATATTATAGCTAATACAGTCGGAGACTGAACTGCCTTTACCTAATAGCCACAGTAGACTCCTAGGCTGGCAATGAGTTAATCCAAAGCCTCTCCCTCAAAATCATCTATTAAAACAATTCCCCCCAATTGTGAACGTGTGCGGCCAGTTGGAAAGGTAGGGGGTAACTTCATGCAGGAGTTTATATTTATCCTTACTATAATTTACCTTCAAAGCTCTATCTGACCTATTCATTTCAGCCTCTAGAATTCTGATTTTCTTTTTCATACCAGGGATTGAACTCAGGACCTTGTGCTTGCGAGGCAGGCGGCGGCACCACTGAGCTAAATCTCGGGTAGAATTCTGATTTTCATCATGTACCAGATCTGCAGATGGGCCAATGTAGAAAGTCTTTATTCCAAGTTGTGGACAAACATGTTAAATGGATCAGAACCAAGGACAGCACCCATGACACTAGCTATTTCCCTCTAGGCTATCACTGATGCAATCATTAATGACACCAACATTCAGCCACCAAGCTCAGTAACCTTCTGGATATTACTGTTCAGTTCACATCTCTCTATTCAGACCTCGAGAACATCTGGGGAAACTGTACCATGAAGATACTACCACCTTTCTATCATTCATTCTTCTTTTGACCTATGCTACTACTTTCCAGTCTGCTAAACTTATCCAAAAATGAAATATGGATATGGTATGGTAACCCTCTGTGTTCCCTTGCTGATGCTGACTACATTTACAATTTTTCATTTCCATGTCGGCACCAGTTGCTTTGTACTCCTTTTTAACATATAAAATCCATGTTCGTTACAGAAAAATTGATAAAATGCATATAAGCAAAACAAACAGAAAATGTACCCCTAACTAAGCCCTATCTCCAAAAGATAAAAAATTTTATACAATATCTTGTATATACTCTTCTAGGTTTATACAACTCTACATGATCTTTCCAGATACTGATTAACCTTTGAAATTGAAAATTCTGTTAGAATATAACATCATATTTAACAGCTAATATCCCCCAAATATACCTCTCCAGTTGTACAAGCTGTACAGAGTACACCTGTGCTCAATAGCTCTGCACATTGGTTTTCAATTCCCAGTGTTCCATAATTCTGAAAATCACAACCATAGGACTTACTCTCCTAGAAAACAATGTATTTAGGCCAATTTATTTACAGGATTTCTAAATATATTCACATCTTTTGACTATAACTTTCCTACATTTTCTTGTTTTAAGGTCATTATACTTAGTGAAGAAAGAAAAAAGTCAAATGAGAGCTAAGTTAAATCAAAATACTGTACACCGTTTGCTTCCACTATAGTATCTATTCCAAGCATATTATCCCTTCATTCTTTGTAACTTTCCTTCAAATAATTGACTATTTTGTCTTTAACTCTCTTGGATTACTTAAACATTTTGGCCAATTTTACATTATTTGGGGTTTGAGCATGATACCATGCTCAAAGGCACAGGCCACCTTTCTGTGAATTTCCATGATCTTGAGTCCCTTTCTTCTCCTATGTTTAATTAAAATCCATGGATTATCACATATGCCTCTCCTTCCCTCTGGTTGACAAAATAATTGTAACAGGATTACAAATTTCAGACTATCTCAGCTCTGTTTAATCATATTTTCTTTTAGAGTCTCTACACAGGCTAACAGACTTAGCTCTTCTATGGGTTTTTCTAATTCTTGGATACGTGACTGACTTCCTTTTGAAGTTTCTATTCATGATGTTAAAACATAGTCACTTTTTAAGTTATTACTTCCACAACACTAGCAGATCTTTCTAATTGGTTATAAACACACCCCTAACCAGTCCCCTCTTGAATCTGCTGCCCTGAGAGATGAAGCAAACAGCAAGACAAGAATGCATTAGACAGTTGACTTTTCACATCTCAGGGGCTGCAACAACCCTATCATCTGTATGTGAACTGGGAAAGCAACATCCAATCCTTCCACTTGACTGGATTCTCACAGTGTGGACCATAAACAGGAAAAGCCTGTGTGACTGTTTCTGAAATCATGTGGGGCTACTGATCTTCAAAACAACAGCAACAAAAACAGATCCTCCAGACCTTCTGAATTACAATCCCTAGATGACAAGGCCTAGGAATCTGCACTTTTAGGAAGTGCCACCAGCTAACTGTGACATGTTAGGAACTGTTTTTTTAGAGCAATGACATCTCTTCTAGTCCTCTTGGATCTCTCTGCTCTGTCCCCTAGGTGCTCCCAACTAAACTTTTTGCAAAAATAAATCCTTTACTAACACATACTTCCTCTTGTTTCAAATACCTTCAGGCCAATTAAACATCTCAGTGATATCTACAGGTTAGATGTGTTTCCTTTGGTTACTACTTTACATTCACTTCACCATTCAAGCATGCAGCATGGTTTAGTCTTGTGTAAAATGCACTGGCTGTGACATCAGATAATCTGGCTTGAATCCTGGTTTTGTCAACTGCCATTTGAATGACCTTAAGCATATCCATTTTCCTTTTTTCTAATTTCAGTCTTCTATAACACAGAAATGATATTAAATGCTTGAAATGAATTGTCTCATATAATCTGAACAATAATCCTTCAAGGTAGATATTTTTAATAATCTCATTTTACAGAGAAGGAATTTCCCAGCCTTGTTGGGAAAGCTGGTAAGTTGTAGCTAAGGAGCTACATACATAGCTTGTACTCAATAAATGTTAGTTTTCTTCTCACGCACCTAAAACCCCCTTGGCTATTATCAATGGTCAAGGAGGCTAAGCAATATTCTTCTATGTTATTTTCTGTAGAGAAAATATTGCACATTTCTTCCAACAAAAAGCTAAACTTTCTCTATCATCTTGGTATAAATCTCATTGTTTTGAGAAGAACTGGGCACACCTCAGAGTAGACACCCCCAGGAACCATGCAGACCTTGGTACTTTCTGGTTACAAGCCTACTCAGGACAAAAAACAAGGTGATCTATTTGCTGAACAAGGTGATCTATTTGCCTGGGCTGAAAAGTGCTTTGAGGTGTTAAAACTAAGCATTTTCCTGAGTCCCCATGTCTGGCTCTCATTATTCTACCATGCTGAGACTCACCCAGCTCCCACCACCACCCCCTTTCCAACGCAACAGGAGGATACATTACAGCCTCACAAAAATGAGGCCATAATACTGCACACACAATGCTGAAGAGGTGCTGCTGGTGTTAATTAGAGCCACCACAGGGAAATCTTGGAAAATTTCAATAATAAATG